GTTCAATAGATGTAATTCAATATTCGTCGTGGCATATAGCCAGGAAAGTAGTTGTTTTCTGTTGAATAAACCGAGAGAGAATTGATATTTTCATCACATGGAGAATGCGAATTCTCAATGTATTTCTTTATATATATATAAATTTTTTTGTGTTCATAAATATATCTGAGAATGATCCTTTTCAATACCCTCTATTTCTGTTGAGAATTGACAGAATATATTTCTTCATATAGTTATATATCAACTCACCTTGACTCTCTCTATCCGCCTTTGGGCTATGACTGGTTAGTCATGACTCACCCTGTATATATATTTACCAACTTGGTATATTTCAAGGGACAAGAATGTTGGAAGTGGATTCAATGAAATACACAATATAAAAATGTATTTTCTTTCAAATCAAATATTTATTCAGTAATACTTTTGTCATTCAGCAATAGCAAAATATTCACTCAAGTCAATCTAAATGATCAACTCAGCAGCTACGGACGAATTATATCGCAATAATCATTTCATTTTATTGATATCTCTGGCTCATCCCATAAAAAGCTGTATATGTATATATAAAGATTCACAAAAAGGAATATAGCAACCCAAATCTGAAAAATAAACTACCTACTCAAACTCAAACTCAAATTAGTAAGTACATAGAAGGTACTAACTAGGGTAGGTAGGTACACTCTGAATGATACGCACATTCATAAATTCCAATAAAATTTTCAGATTTACATGCACATTATATTGTCAAAATATTCCGACATTTTTTTATCACAGGTTATAATGCAATATATTAGTATAATATATATATATTTATTTATGAACAGAATATGTAAAGGTACCTACTGAAGAAAACATATAACCAAAAAATTATATTCGCAACTATGGGCAACTTTTGGTTTTTTCATAGATTATTCAGAATTTCTTATTCCTGTAAATGAATGTTACGAATTTCAAGTATCTCTCCAGAAAAGTATTCTGAATATTGCTTCCTCAGATTTTCGACAACTTATATTATTTATCTTCCATCAGCTGAAACTATTATTGTTCCTTCATAAAGGGTATAGGTAAACGTCGGAAGTTCGTTTTTTCAACTACTTCTTATAAGTCGAAGCCCTGAGGGGCAGAAGGACGATCTAGCCTTCATAGCCATCTAGTGGCTTAAGTGCAAGGTGTATAGGTAGATTCATCAATCATCGATTGACGAAATTCCCCTAGAATCTCTTAGTCTTGAGATTCTAGGTTTATCTACTTCTTATAAGTTGGATTCATATAAGATCCTTGAACTGGAGCTTTCTTCCGCTTAAAAAAAATCAACTCTTGCAGAAATCTCAGGTGAAAGAGACATATCACATGGCCAGTTGAGTTGCATACATCCATCTTTAGTTGCCCCATAGAGGATGACTATAATATATAAAAATGAGTAGTATGCGAAGTTATCGAGTACCTACTGTTGAAAGCTTTCAGGTATTAAAACTTGCAGTATCCTCAAGAAATATAAATGTATATATAAAGCATAATATACTACAGAGTAATCGACAATGATTGAACGTCTATCGATACTAGGTACCTATTTTCTAATAACGCCCTTATGTATGCATATAATATGTAGCTCACTTTGTAACAGTCAGCATTTATTTCCATATTATTGATTTCATTATAGTTATAGAATTCGAAACTAATTCTCTGACTACAAACTTTAATTCTCTGCTTAGTCAGAGTATAAATTCTTCTTGAATTAGCTATTTCCCAAAGTGAAAAGTTTGGATTCAGAAGTGAGTCTGAAAACAATGAAAATGCCTGTATACGATTCGTAAATAAGAGCTGGAATTGAAGAGAAAAACTACGAATTTAGAGTTGAACTGAGTATTCGAAAAATACAATTCACGTCCTTCTTCTACTGTTCATTATACATTCCTACTACTAGACCAAAATCTGTAAGTATGCTGGCAAGAGTGAAAAGCCTGAAAAAATGTTTCAACCAATAATATCTATAAACTGAAAACAACAAAGAGATATAGCAATCAATGTGAAACAGCCTGTGATCAGAGAATGTATACATATGTATTCTTATTGATTGGTTTCTTGGATATTGAAGGCAGTAGTACGTCTGACACATTTAGGATATGTGACGATAATATAATACATTTTTATTCCAAGTAAGTTTATTTGTGCATGTGATTGCTACATCACCATGGATGCTGAATATATTTTTCGAGATATTCAGCACTAAGTGAGGGCATGTTCAATCATTGTAGGATTGTAGATTGCAAATAGGGTACCTAATAAAAATGATGAATTGAAAGCTAGTATATATACATACGCAATTAAAAAAATATTTTAATTGATAATAAAGCAATGAGAGATCTGTAAACAATTCGACAGTTATCCTATATAATACAATATCAACATTAAAATAATTTACGTACAATAAAAAAACAGTCTCAATAATGTAACGAACTGAAAAATATCCACATTTTGGCCATGGCCAAACGGTGTTTCTTCACACTGTACTACTTGTACCCATAATTATTCAAATAATTAGATTCTACAGCAGGTCCTATACAATACCATTGACAATCATCAATCGATTTTCAGAGCCTCAGGAGATCAATCAAGGCGTTAGACCATTGAGCGAATGGAAACATATCTTAATCTTCCTATATGATTTGTCAGGTTATGACAATGAAGGATGCAATTTTTTTTACTCATCTTGCAGAATTTTAATGTTTCCTCTTACTTCAAAACAGAATATTCTATAACATATCCCCTATCCATCAATATGCCCTAAAAATAACAATAATTGAGGAGGTTCAGTAGACACATGTTTCAAACCGTTATTAGCTTCATAGATTTGTTGTCAGGAAAATGAAGAGCATTTTTTTACAATATACATATTCATCATTTATGTGTCATTCACATGTCCAATATATTTTGATTCAACGTTCTCTCTTACAACCCCAATACGAAGATGTCTTCTTTGCGTCATTTCAGATCACTTCTACAGCATTTCGGAAATAATTTGAACCGAAGTTTCGGTAGAATATATACTAATGAAACTGATTAAAACAACTCATTCCCTTATTCTGGTAAACTATATATTCGATTCGACAGTAAGTCAGCTAGAAGCCACAATAAAGTCTCCTTGTGTCATGAAGAGTATTGAAGTCAATATGAAATTCAACTTGAATCACATCAGTCATAATAAATACAATCATTACATCTCATGTCGGATGTATGACACCTTTGATCGGTCTTGACTTGAAACTGACGTCTCTGGAAGGCAACCATGTTACCTTTGACAATCTTCTCTGTTGATTATTATCACTTACCACACTGATTCTTGAAATACATGTATAGATGTGTAGAATAAGATATGCTCTGAGAGATATTTTTACTTCTGCTTTTTATGAGATTGGAATTGGATGTGAAATATTTCAAAAGCATATTAATGTGTTTTTTCGTAAATGAAGATGAAGATTATTATTTTCCAGATCGGTTGATTCTGCCTAAAGGTGCTGTAGAAATGGAAAGAAATAGGAATCTGATCCGAAGAATAATATATCATAATGGGATAGGATTTTATATGGGTACAATTAAATCGAGAATGTAGAACCAGTTTGGACTCACAGAACACAATCCTTGTTTTGAAACACCATAAAACCATCCAGCTGACTCTCATAAGGCCTGTTCGTTTGTATTATCTTTTTCCCATAGTTGTCTCTGTTCATGCCATGATGTAAACAAAGAAAGTCATAGAAAAAAATCAAGTTTAGCAGGTTGAGCAAGCACAAACGAACAGGCCTATAGTTATCAACGAATAACTCAACTAATCTCCATTACTACCAAGTCCACCAATCTCACATCACACTGACCTGACTGTGTGTGCCAATGCCCAGATCAGGAAGTCTTCTTGTTTCAAGAAGAGGATTGACGTCAGTATGAAGGACATCTAGCTTGAATCATGGTGAAATTATAATATGGTGTGCTACTCACGTATCTTGAATTCCTCTTTTATAAGCATTATGTCATTGCGAGCCTATACTGATACCAATAATGATCACGCTGAGCTCAGAGACTGTGAGCAATTGTTTCACTGGCAGTGACGAATACGGAGATGCGTCGCAGCCTCGGTCGCAGCACACCATATATATTATAATTCCACAAAGGCTTGAATCACGTCAAAGGGTGCCATAATGAATGAAGCCATAAAAACGCCCCATGTTGGTTCCATGACACCTTTCATCAGTATTATCTCGAAATTAACGTCATAAAGACGTCTCTGAAGACAACCGTGGTACCTGAGACAATTTTCTCTGTGGATAAATGATTACTTGTCACACTGATTATTGAAATTCATGTTGACGTGTAGTACAAGATTTGAATTGAACTATTATTTCTCAGATCTGTTGACTCTGCCAGTGTCCTGTGTAGGAATGGAGAGAAGTAGGAATCTGATTCAAATAACGGTATATTGTAGGGGAAGGGGACTTTATATGGGTACAATTAATACCTACGCCAGATAGCCAATCGTGAATGTGGAACCATAGTTTGAATGGATCTGAAGGCAAAATTTCACATTCACAGAGCACAACCTTGAGGTCCATCCCCAATCAATTCAGTGGCGAAGTGACACTTCGGCACGCTTGTTTGGACAATGACTTCCAAACGTGAGTATACTCAATTCGATTTCGTGCTGAATTGCGCGCCGACTTATAAGTGCAAGCTTGCAAGTTGCAAACTTTTTCGTTATCCTTATTATTTGTTGTCTTGTCTTTGATAAGTATAGTTATGGTACCTACCTAAGTATGGAGCGGAATGTTATTAGTACTAGACGAGAGCAATCGAGGGAGCGAAAATAGGCAATTAGTTAGGCGTCCTCGAAGGTATAGACCAAAAAGATTTGGGGTACATCCCATATTTTCGCTCAGGAAAAAAACAAGGTTTTCATGAGAACTTACTTAAAGAATACTGTCTGTAGGTTAATCGAGGAGATGGTACATTCATTTTACTTGATTCTCTTTTCTCTCCTCGTTTCTATAAACTAAAAATATTCGTATTATTTCAATATATTTGTAGTGGGACAAATCAGATGATTTGCCCCAAAATGTTACTGCGTTTAAAAAAAATTTCAGGTAGTCTAAAAGAAAAATCCAGTAGCTTATCAGTGACAATTTGTTTGAAAAAATGTTTGAAGGGAAAAAATATAGATATATTGAAGAAATATCGAATTTTTACTTATCTTTGGACTTCTTATCTTTACGAAGCTCGGTCAAGTGACCCATCAATAACAATAATAACAAAAACAAAGAAATAATGCCATCACGTCACGTCAGACATCACATTCACAGAACTATAAATAGTTCTGTGGTCACATTCAGGCTGACTGAATTGACCGGATTGAGGATGGGTATCCGTTTTGCAGCACGCGTGCCGAAGTGTCACTTCGCTAGCAGGTTAATCGAGGATGCACCTTTATTCTTGTTCTGAAACACCGTAAAACCATCCAGCTGACTCTATGAAGAGCTCAATTCGCATCTCCATCACCATCAAGTCCATCCCTCTCAACTCACACTGACCTGACTGTGAGCCAAGATCAAGATGTCCTTCTTCTCCTTGGGGAAGCGCAGCTCTCGTCCTGCCAGCCGCGCAGACTCCAGCTCCCTTTCGGCCTGGTTCAGCTCTTTGCGCAGCGATCCCGCGCACTCCTGCTCTCGCGCTATCCAGTCCAGCGCCATCTGTGAGCGCATGTCGTCGTCGAGTGCGCGGTTCGAATAGTGCGCCACTACCTCCTGTCGGCTGCACTGTCTTTCGCGCATCGCCTTCAGGCTGCCGTTCCAGTGGAGGAGTTGGAACACCGTCATCAGTTCTTGGAACTCGAGCATCGTGCGGCCTTTGTTCGATTCGAGCATGAATCGGAAGGCGCCGATGCCAGTGTTGGGGTTATCGACTTCTTCGTTTTCACCTATCGAAAACAAATTGAGAGTAATGATTAGTATACCTATCAGGAGTATCAGGCCCGTATCTAGAATCGAATTTGTGGTAGGGCATCAAAAATTTGAAGTAGGGTACATATTTCAGGGTCCTAGTTCAAGTCATGAAATGGAGTCCTTAGAGTCCTTAGACCATAAAAAAAATACAACAAGCAAAAAAGTCGCCGAGGTGATATCATGGGAATATTTCTTAGACTGTATAATATCAAATGTGCTGAATATGTGCACTTATTTCAAAAACACCTTGTATATTGGATATTTTTGAATTTTCGGATGTTATGAAGTCTTGACATTACTGGCCCTTGGGATTGATTTTCCTCTTTTCAACTTCTACTACGACTCCGCTTCGAACACTAAGGACTTCTACATACCTTTACCTCGCTAGGCGAAGGATTTCTAAGGTTTGCCGATCTATGGACGAAATAGTATTTTGGTTTTGGTTGAGAGTTGTTCGAAATATTTCGACAAATCTAGGGGTTGACAACAAAATGGTGTGTTGACTGAGCTTGTCGAGTTTGTCGTCTGACTGGTATTAGATCTAAGAGCGAGTCTAAGAGCATCATTGTATCCTTGAGCGCTGAACCCCATGTTGAGGGAACAATATTTTGAAATGTGCAAAATCTTTTTGATGTTGTAAGAGGTAGCTTTTCGCGCAGAATAAATAAGCGTCGTTTTGGAGTAACAGCTTTCACAATGGATCAAACATGATTTTTTCAAGAAAAAGTACTACTGATGTTGATTCAGAGCATAGATATTGTAGATTTTGTTGGATTGATGGTTTCAAGCATTATCCTTTTTTAGAGAAAATACAGACTTGAGTTTCGGTTATTTCATTTTGGCCATCGAGGTCTTTCAAGTATCATTGCACGACAATGTTTTCATCTTAAAGTAGGGCATTTTGAATTTCAAGGTAGGGCATAGTCCCTCAATTTCCCCCTATAGATACGCCGCTGGTACCTACCTATCATGGACAAAATAATGTGATTATAACGATGAGTTATTGATTGTCGTCAGTCAGGATAAAACCATATGAACAAATGTTCTGACGTTTCGGTTGAATGTATTCAATCATCATCAGAAATAAATTCTTCTGATAGGTATAGCTAAGCTGCGAAAAAATAATCATTTAACGATATTTAGACAACAAAAAAATAGGATAGAAATATGATAGCTTGTAATTCGTGTAATATAACGACGAATGTATTTTTCAGATTCTAATTTCATCAGTGGAGTGTAATATGATTTCTTATAGTAGAGCAAAATAGAATAATGCACAGCTACCGAATGAAAATAATAAATAACAATGAAATTCGCATAGCAAATTAAGCAAAAAGATACATAGTCGTAGTATGTTGTCAATAAACTTATTGAAAACGGTCATGGCTAGTCATTTTGTCAATAACAAAAATGTTTGGATTCAATATATCATTCTCCTACAAATGTTTATTTCTTATTACATTAGTGACAAACTGACAAAGAACCAACATTTATGTGACCAGATTATATTTAAATATATTATTGATTTGATAAATATAGAGTTTCAAACCCCACTGAAACATTAATTGATTTGCAATCATAACAAATAATGATCTCTTGAATTTTTTCTTGCTATGCCTAGGATTTGAATCCGATTTTAATTTGAAATGAGTGATGTACAGTATGACAAGGATGGAAATAAATTGTGGTTCCACACAAGTTCCCACCTGTGACGTAACTTAGGCCCGTATTTATAGTCGCTCCTTAAGGCGACCTCGTCCCTCAAGGATTCCTTGAGGACGAGTTTCTGTTTTATAGTCATCATATGAGTTGGAAGGAAGCCTCAAGTACCTTTCAATGTCGAGGTAGGTAGAAGGGTACCTTGAGCAATCCTTGAGCACTCCTCAAGTCAGTTTTCGGTGAGATTTCAGGTCTCTCACAGGTGTTTTGTTTGAATATTTTGAGTTTTGTCTTTGGTTGTTGACAAGTTCTAGGTTACATTTCATTATTTTGCAAGAAAATATGGATTTGGATGATTTTCTTGATTTCATTGAAAGAGTAGAAGAGAACGAAGTGATCAACAGAATCCCTAAACGTTACATCAGAGATGTTGAAGACCCATTCACATTCTATAGGGATGTAGAATTCAGAAGGAGATATCGTTTTCCCAAAGTGGTAGTTAGGGATACTATCTTACCACTTGTGACCCATTCCCTGATGAAGAACAACAATAGAGGATTGCCAATAGCACCAGTCATTCAACTTCTGGCTAGCTTGAGATATTATGCTACAGGTCATTTTCAGGTATGGTTTATTACCCAGGTTTACCAAAGGTTTATTAATTTGAATTTATCCTTCAATGATTTCAAATTGTTCCTATGTATGCTACAGATTGATGGGGGTGATTTAAGAGGAATATCACAGGCATCAATGTCATTTATAATCAAAAGGGTGTCCATAGCTTTGGCAGAACATTTGAACAATTTCATACATTTTCCTGATGCTGATGGCCAACAAGAAAATATAAGGAAATTTCACACAATAGCCGGATTTCCAAATGTTGCAGCTTGTGTTGATGGAACCCATATCTCAATTTTGAATCCTGGTGGAGATATTGGAGAAATTTTCCGTAACAGGAAAGGACAATTTTCACTGAATGTCCAGGTCCCTATTATAAATGGTTCACCTTATATTTTGTGCTATTAGCTAATACCTACTCCTCTTGCTCTCAGGTTGCATGTGGTCCAAATATGGAAATTTTAGATATTGTTGTCAGACATCCAGGATCAACCCATGATAACACAATATTTGCCCAAAGTGCTCTACGAATTTTGTTTGAAGAGAATCAGCTAGATGGTAATATCCATTGGGCATCTTCAATTATCTGATTTGATTTTTCCATTTTCTGAACTATTAATGGCAGCAATGAGGAAAGAGAAGTATCTAATATATATTATATTTATTTAAATCTCAGGTATTATACTGGGTGATAATGGATATGGGTGCAAGAGGTACTTGTTGACTCCTGTTTTGAATCCAAGCAATGTCACTGAAAGGAATTACAATAGAGCACATCGGAGTACAAGAAATATTGTAGAGAGAGTGTTTGGCATTTGGAAGCGAAGATTCCCATGCTTGAAAAGAACACTCAACACAAAATTAGAGACATCTGCCACTATAATTTGTGCAACAGCAGTATTGCATAATATTGGAAGGCAGATGAATGATATTTTTGAAGATGAAGAAGCAGAAGATGTGGTCAATATTGCAGAAAATATTATATTTGAAAATATTGATAATAATGTAGAAGGATTAGCATTCCGAAGGGCATTTATACAAATACATTTTTGATATTAATTGATTTTATGGGTATGTTGAGACAAACATGTGTACTAATATTGTTTTTCATTCAGGTATGTGAATAACCACCTAGGTGACCACCAGTGCACCATTCCATCAGGATTTCGTAATCTTGGAGTATCTATATGAATGTTTTCAAGAAGGTAACAGATTCTACTTACTGCTTGATGTTGCATTATTACCTCTGTTGCATTATTAGGTATTGGTTTTGATTTTTTACCTCAAATTCAACTGTTGTTGTTATCCTTCAAGTCTTTTTATAGAGAAGTGAATGCAAAAGTATATAATAGACCTATATAATATTAGATTTTATGCCAAAAGTCAAAGGACATCCTATATTATTATTTTCATATTTATTGTCCCATGTGGCAATGAAAGATTTTATTACTAGTGACATATTCTTCTTGTTTAGAATCAAAATTGATGAAATACATATAGTTTTTCTATTAATGCTCGAAAATAAGGTTTCAAAACTCTTTTCCTGAATTTTTATTATTGAAGGTAAATCGACAAAAAATCTGAAACATGACAAATTCGCAAATTTACAGTACCTATATATTCCTGGGAGTAGGTATTTATAATTTGGTACCTCTACTTTGAAATAATGAACAGTTCCATTCAAAATATAGATATATGTGTTGATCTATACTATATATATATATATATATATATATATATATATATATATATATATATATTATTTAATTAAATACATTCTCCTTTTCCAACAATTGAGTTTTTCTTAACCATGCAATACATTTTTTCTATTTCTACAACCTCAAGTTTCACTTTATACAGTTGTCTGCTGTTGAATTGCATTTTCCAATTTTAAAAGCTTCAATTGATACAGAGGGTGATCAGAATTCTGAATCTTTGAACCACCCTCTATCTCTTTATTTGTTCCAATTAAATGTCAGTAGATAGATAATCATAAAAGTTAAGAAAGGGACATATGTGAGCCGTTTTGTGGCCAATAATGAATAGTTCGGACACAAAAAATCCTAACAGTTGAAAAATCTCGATTTTGAACACCCTATATATCCCTGTAATCATTTCCGCTGGACCCCAATAAGTGTGATGCATTGATAAAATCAGCTCTTCTAGAAGAATCTAAGAATGCAATAAAATACAGGGGTATTCCATTTGAAAAATCTATTATTTTTGCTATTGCGCGTGAAAATGGAACACCCTGTGAATCTGAAACTATTTTCAAATGTGGACTTTTCAGAGCCGTATAACTTTTATTATAATTTATTTAAGGAATAAGTAACAATTAATGATTTAATTTTAAAAATTGAAAGATGAATCTTCTCTATCTAGCAACTGGGTTTTCTTAATCCAGAATAATTTTTCTGCTTCAGCTGCTTCTAATTTCATTTTATGCAGTTCAGTCTGCTGTTGAATGGCGTTTTCTAATTTTGTAAGTCTCAGCTGACTTTCTTTTTCAACTAATGAAATGTTATTATTTTTTGTTTTTCGCGAGTTTTTTTTTGATATATCTGAAAAACAGAAATTCCAGAGACAATATCTAATATATTGTTTTCATTACCTTTACCTGGAACTAATGTTACATTTTCATCATTCCTATTTGGTACGTCGTGCTGAATTTCATAATCCAGATCTACAAAAAAGAAAT